CACACACACACACACACACACACACACACACAACAATTCGATATAAATAATATTAAAAATCTAAAATTAATTCCATTAGCACTAAAGCATTAAAGTGAATAAAGCAGAGAAGTTATTGACAGTTATTCATGATGACGAAAAATGCTATATGAGTAGGGAAGTTTTACGAACGTTTACAAGAAAATGATAATGAAAAAGATTTTCTATATTTAGTTTCCTCAAAATTTATATAGCTTGAAAGATGTTTCTTTATTATAAATTGTTATTGATGGATATGGAAATCTATGTTTATGCAAATTTGTACGTTACTGCATATCTCCAAGAAGACACGAAGAGAAGAAACGCATTGACGCACGTTGCGTGTATAAAACTTCCCTAAATAAAATGCGATATGAAACGAAAAATATTAAAGATGATCTCGATAGATACTATCTGCGGGAGAACGGTACTAGATCTGGCTTGGAGTGACATCGTGAGAGCGTGCCATTTGACACAAAGGTGCCTGAATCTGAACCACTAATTTTGAGCGACACCCTAGGTATGGTAAAAGACGGGGAGGTGGGAGTGGAGCGTGGCAAGCGTGATAAGCGTGGAGATCTCTTCCAAGTGTCGGAAATTACGGTTTTAGAATAGTCAAAAGGGGGAAAAGAGAGACCACTAAGACCAGAAAAAGGCAAATAGTCTTGATAGCGCTTTTCCAATGCTTCCATTTCAGCCGCCAGATCAGCTTCTATCTTCTATAACAGGTACATCAAGACTTATTTCAGATTTATGTCAAGATTGGCGTAGTTCAATTTGCGCATTTAATTAACTGTGCAAATTCGTGTCGTATTTCTGCTGCATTCTTTCGCCAATTATTTTTCATCTCGATTTACAGTGATTTTATTTTCATTAATGATTAGTCATGCAAATTGAGTTCCGCGCAAAGCGACGCAAGCTGAATGCAAAAGCGAATACTCTCTCTTACAGATCTCTGTTACAAGAATCAAACAATTGAGTTTACATTCATGGTCCTGGCACCACATTACGCTTTCCGCTCACAAATTTCTCTGCGTCGGTTTGCGCCGACCTGAATTGAATTAAATTCTCACACTTACAGAATGCGCGAAATAAAAAAAAATAATTTTAAAAATAAAGCACATTGCTAAACCAATAGAAAATTAAAAGGCAGTTATATGTACTATCAGGCCGTAAAGATCAAAGATTTTTTCATTCAAGAAACATATCGATAAGACAAAGAGATAAGATAATTCTAAGATAATATTATCCAAACTAGATGTAATTACCTGTTTTCGTGGCTTAAGTAGCGCCTTCCACTCACGAATTTCTCTGCCGTAGGCCTCTTCTTGTTCCTTCAACTTGAGTGTCTCATGCTCCATCAACATCTTTCGTTTTTCATTCTGCAATTGCTCCAATTCCTTGATCGTGGCATCACTCTGAGCTCTCACCTCTTCGAGCTGTCTGGAATGCTTGAGCTCAAATCTCTGCTGTTCCGCCCTGTACCTTTTCTTCTCATTTTCCTGGAACTTCTTCAGTTTTTCCCGCTCGGCGTCGGGATCCGGCGCGAGTACAGATGACATCGAGATCCTCATCGATTCTCGGAACATCATCTCACGCGCCTTCATCTCATTGCGAATTCTCTTCGGTAAATTTCTGCGTTCTACCGTTTGTCGTTTAATCAGCTCCTCCTCCTTTCTCTGATTCATCCTCTTCATCTGTTCTAGCTCCTTCTCGTGCCGTATGAGCATCTGATGTCTCTGCAGGAAGAAGATATCCTTGAGTTGCTTCTTGAGTAATTGTTGTCGCTCATGTATTTGTCGTTCCTCCTGCTCCCAGATAGCAGCCTCTCTACCGCGCATCAGTTGCTGTTTCTGCTGCAAGAACTGTCGCTCCATCAACGCGATTTTCTCGCGATGACTGTCTGACAGTCGTCTCAGCGACATTTCGTGACTCTCGTTAAGCTTCTCCAAGAAAAGCTTCTCTCGATCCTCGTGCTCCGCTTCGAGCTTCTCTTTTCGTATTTTAAACGTGCTCTTCCGCTTGTCCTTTGGCATCAAGTCTATTTCTTGCTTGAGCAATCTCAATTCTTGTTTCAGGCCCTCTCGGAATTGCTTGAGTTCTCTCTCCTGTTCACTACGAATCTTTTTGGACGCTAGTCGCAGATCAACCTCTTGCTGTGCCTCGGCACGTTCAATTTGCTGTCTTTGCTGTCGAGCGAGCGTTTCTAAATCTGCCTCGGCGCTACGCTCCAAGAGTTGCCGTTCTTGCTCGAACCGCTTCTCTTGTTGGTCTTTGTTGAATTGTGCCTTCTGAGATAGATCTTGGTATTGTTTCTGTTCCATCTTCTGCAACATTTTTAATTCCCGCAACTCTTGCTTCCTGAATATTTGATCGTCGTACACCTTACCGTTCTCGTCATCACCGTATATCACCTTCGAGGTCGTCGTCGTCATCATGACACCGTCAATCTCAAACTTTCTCGTTCGCTTTCTTGTCTTTTTCTTTAGATTCATCATCTGTATATCTTCCTTTGTCCTAGTTGGCCGAGATATCTCACGATTATAATCAGGTTTTCGACGAAGAACGACTTCTTCGTCAACTTCTGAATGTTGAGGTTGATTCAAGCGATTTTCTTTGTTCGATTCTCTACTGTCCTGACTGATTGTTGTCGAAATAGATTCAGCGTCGGAACGATCGATGCTTTTACTCGGAGTATGGGATCTTATAGAACTAGAATCACTTTGGGATCTGGAGCCCTCGAAGCTATCCGGAGAAACTCGTTTCTCTTTACTAAAGCCCTTGACATTGACTTCTTTAGGTTTAACCGTTTTCACAATTCTATCGTCGGCATGATGTGGCATTTCATTCTTGATCAATCCGTTTAGCTTCTTCGCATTTCTCTCGTAATCGTCCATATCCGGAGACTCAATGGTCGTACTGGCGACTATCACTTTTCCACTCTCGTCTCCGCTGTCGCTTTTCAAGCTTAATCTCTCATTCGAACTCAGATCACTATGAGACGAGCCGGTACGAATAACATTGTGTTTCTTTGATATCGACGAGTCTTTCACCTGCTCCTTGTCCTCGCCAACAGTAACCACTGAGACGTGACTGGTATCCTGCAATTCGTCCACGATAGAACTCACTATGACTACCTCCGACTCGTCCAACTTCTTGCCAATTCTCTTAGACACATCAGTAAGTACAATAGGCTGTTCCTGTGGCGTGTATTCTAGACTATCCAGACTAGGAAACGCGTCGTCGTCAATAGAACTATCATTCACCTGAGTTTTGTTCATCTCGTTGGCAACAATGACAACTTCCGATGTCGGTGAGATGCGGCGTGGAAGAGGCGTCGTCGTTGTGGCCGAAGGCGCATCGACTAATACGGGTGGATGCGTCGTCACAACAGTTACTTGGCTTATGTTACTTGCTAAACTGTTGGACATATCCGGCGAATCGGCAGTAATATGGACGGTCGATGTATTTAAGCGTACTTCTTGTTCGGGTTGAGCTTTTCCTATAACGTAAATAAGAAATGAAATAAAGACTAGTTTAGGATAGCGTTTAAGGTAATAAATTATCTCAATTTTACCAGTAATAACGACTATGTTATCTCCGCTACTTCTCCTCGAACCACTTCTGCTTCTGATCGGCGTCGACGTAATCACGGACACATTAATTCCCGGATCCTGTTTCTCCAAGAGCTTGTCATCATTCGTTGTGTTCTCTTGATTATTTTCCGTCTTATTACTATCCGTTTTAGCATGCAATTCGTCCGAAAAGCTTTCCAAAGAATCATTTCTGGACGATCCTGCACTACGACTCTTCGTAGAACTCTCAGTCTTCGTTACGCCAAACTGCGTCTTAATATCTTCCGTAGAACTAGCTTTAATGTTATTCTTTTCCGACAGGAGCGTCGATGCAACGGATATGTGTTTCAATGTTTCCATAGAACCGTCATTCATTCTCTTCCCAGAGTCCATGGATAATCGCTTCTCTAATACGGCGTTCAGTTTTTCACCAACAGATTTCCGTTTTTCTTCCAAAGTCTTGAAATCCTCCTTCTCTCGAGATTGCAATTCGTAATTCGATACGTCATCAACGGATAACAATTTATTTTTCATTCTAAATGGAAATGTTTCATGATAAATAAGTTTTCCTTCTCAAATCAATTTATAAATATAAATTCTAACAGACAAAAAATGTATAGAAAATGCTTACCTGTCTTTATCTTCAAAAGACGATTGTTTATATATTATTTTAGATAAGTCTTCGATCATTTCTGGTTTCACAGGCGCTGATTTGCGTTTTTCATTTATCCCCAATTGTTTCTTCGAAGTGGAACTCGATTTATTGTTTATTAACTTCTGATTTTCAAATCTTTTTATATTATCGAATAATTTGCCGTTACCCTCACTATCGACTTTCTTTATCTTGTCGGAACCGTCTAATTCATTTTGCGTCTGGTTTTCGATTTCTAAATTCTTTTGTTCTTTAACATTTGTCACCTGTTGCTTTGCCGTTTTTTCATTTTGTGGTTTGTTTATTTGCGATTTGTCTTCCACAGATCTCTGCTTATCAGTTAGGTTTGTGATCTTCTCGGCAATTTTCGGAATGTTTTCTCTTTCTTCGTCTTTTCTCTTCTTCTCTTCGCTATCTTGACGTATAGGTGGTGGCGGAGGCGCTGGTCCTTTATCTCGAGATAATCTGCGCTCATTTGTTTCACTTGGTGGCTTAGGTGCCTGGCGTGAATAATTACATATATATTTATAAACATCCATTCATTACGCAATCGATGAGTTATTATCGATGAGTTATTATTTACATACTATAATTTAATATATTTATACTAATTTATTATGTTTAACCTGCTTCTTCTCCACAGGAGGCTGTATGTTTTCTTTGGATTCAGCCTTGCGTAATCTCTTATTCTTGTCCTCTTTCTCACCGTCCCGGTTGATCTCGCGTTTATGACTCTCTTCTTTCTTCGCAGGCAATGCTACGAGATTCTCTTTTTCGGAAACTATGAAAAACAAAGAAAAGCATTAATACATTGTACGTCACATATATTAGATATATAGGATGTTTCAAAAATAGATGATCAAACTTTGGAGTATATTTATTGTAACGATGAATAAAGATATAAACGTTTAGAAACTTTCTTTTCGAATTAGAAACACTTTTTTATATAAAAGATCTTGGCAAAAACATTGTTAAAATAATTGTTAAATATTAAATATATTCTAAATCCATACATATAGTGAATATTAGCCGATTCAATGTCAGTGCAATGTCAATTATTATCTTGATAAATTCTATCTTAACTATTAAATGCTTAGAAACTGATAACCTTCTTTTATCTACAACATACAATTTCAATTCTAAATTTTTTATTTTATTATTACGATAAGTATAATACGCTCTCAAAGTTTGACCACTTATTTCATTTATATAATTTCATAATACTCACTTTTAACGTCAGCATCAAGGCGCGTAGAAGCGGAGTCATCTGTGATTTGATCCAGCTCCAGCGGAAGCTGAGACGTGCGCTGCTCCTGAAATGTTAATGTATATGTTACATGTGAATGTAAGAAGTATGAAGGGACATCTCTTTTGATCATTAATTGTTCCATACTACTTGCATATTCAAAAAAATATATGACATTAGATAACATAAAACTAGATACATAAAAATAAATATATTTATCAATACCGAAGTTTGCAGATTATCGTTTACAATCATAAATTCGCAGTTCATCGCTTTAACATAAATATGATTAATAAATAAAATAGAAAAAATATAATTTCATGCTGTACATAGTATAATTACGTGATCGTCATAATTTTGATTTACAAGTTATTTTTTTAAAAACTATCACCAAGGATAACAAAAATCCTCTTGAGATTTTAAGAGATCTTAAGATTGAAGTGTTTCATGTATGAGAAGAGGAAAAATAGAAAATTTTTCTCTAAAATATCCAACTGTAAGTAAAAGTCTTATCTTATAGTATTTTATTTTTCATGAATAAATCTTTGTCAGTACCTAAGAGAGAGATCTGCAACAATAGTATTTATCGCATAAGAAATTCAAGCAAATTTTAAAATGATCAAAGAAGAATTTTATCGCTTTCCAATTCTCAAAAAACAACTTATACTACATTATACGGACTATCTTATAGAATATTCTTTACACAGCATATATAATTTTCCTTAAATTTATGCTTTGTTACTCAGGATTAATCCTGTTGGTGCACAGAATGCAGTAACGCAAACTACTAACCTGATGCGTACTGGGCTGGCGAGGGCCAGGAGAACCGCATGCACAGCCAAAGTAATAACGTTACACCACAACACATTTGTTATATATAGTCACACAACATATTTTATATATGGAATATTTTCTACTACTAATATTATCCTACATTTTCAATAATTCATTCCTTATAATAAAAGAAAAATAGAAATTACAATGAATTAAAATTTTATTTTAAACACATGCACTACTATAATATTTAAAGGAGATGGTCATGTCATGCGTAATCATATTATAGATGCAGTCACATCTTATTAAAAAATCGATGTTGATCTTGATATAAATAATCGAACTAAAATATTTTTAATCTTTTAGGAGCGTTTAACTGACATGACATCCAATATCAACAACATTCTAATAATTCATATCCGTTGATTTGATAGGGGTAAGACACATATGCTTCACATAGAAGCAGCTTACCAATTCGCTGATACTGTTCTCTGTGTTTTTTCGTTTTTTTGGCCTTCTATAATAACGGAAGCATGTAACAATGTGTAATACATGTTAACTCTGCATTATCAGCTCTGTGCATTAAAGATGAGTATCTATTATATTATCATGTTAAAATATAAACTTTTGCACTAGAGCGAATTTCGTTAAATGAGGATTAAAGTTTCGCTATCACACTATCATTTAGGAATTATAATATAAATTAATATAGAAGAAACATTATGTTAGAGAATGTTTATATATTCTTCTAAAAGTAGATATTAGAATTTTAATCTCATGCAAAGAATGTATGATTGCATGTTTGTTTAAAAAAAATATTTATATATATTATTTGTATTTATATATGTTATTATATATATATATTTTTTATATATTTATATATGTTAATCATATGTTTTATGAATTGATAATTATAGTATATTACTATTATTAGTATATTACTATTATTAGTATATTACTATTATTTTCTGTATTACAAATGATTTGCATAATTAACATGTACATAATGAATTTACGATGGAGCATAGAGTAAAAAATAGAACCTACCTCTGCTTCCTCATCTACCAGCTCCTCTTCAACAACGTCCGCCTTATATTCAAGTAACAAGTCTCTGACAGGTTTTGGATCTAAATTTCGGCTTATGAATGGATGTTTTAACAAATCGTCAGCTGTGGGTCGCGTGGCCGGATCCTTTATAAGTGCTTTAGCAATAAAATCATTAAATTCCTTACTCCATTTTCCAGGCTGATCCAGTTTCGGCGGATCGCCTTTCTGTATTTTAAGTAGCACTCGCATTGGTGACATTTCATGGTTCGGTGGCTCCATTTGTGCAAACTCTATAAGAGTTATACCAAGAGACCAAATATCCACCTATACAGTTAAATTCATATGTTAGATAATGATTTAAATAATATAACTTGTAACATTGGAGTGATTAATAACATTTTTACAAGTATTTACTTTAAAATCGTAAGGATTATCCCTAAATGTTTCACATAAGACAACCTCAGGTGCCATCCAGTAAGGAGTACCAATAAACGTATCATGCTTCTGCAGAGTATGCTTGTTCTTTGCGGATACCCCGAAATCAGCTATATATTAAAAATAAAATTATTTGTTGTATTTAAACGATAACGAAGAAATTATTGAAGTTCATTTTTGATATTTTACCTAATTTAACACCTCCCGCCATGGTCAATAAGACATTCCCTGCCTTTAAATCCCTATGTATGACTTTGGATTTGTGTAGGAAGGCAAGACCTTTAGTCATATGTTGGCAGATATACGCTATTTGCATTTCCGTTAGCGCCTTCTCCAACTCGACCATTATAGAATCCACAGCACCACCGTCACAATATTCAATTAACATCTACAATTATGTTTTCTGTTACTTTTTTTTTCAAAGTGATCATTTAATTACACACAATAACAACACAATAACAATTATATTGTTTACCAAAGGTTTTATCACAAATAATTATATTAGAAATATATCTGCAAATATAAAATTATAAAACGTACCCATAATTTTCCTTCAATGAAATAAGCTTCGTGTAATTCAACGACATTAGGATGCTTGCATTCCGACAAAATATCGATTTCAATCATAAAATCGCTAAGATCGTCCTCTCCCTCCAAAGCGCACATTTTCGCAGCAGCAAGCTGATTGGATTGCTTATGTTGTGCCTGAAGTAAGCGGTAATAATCATTCAAAAACATTAATACAAATAGTTAATACAAACAAAGGAGTCTGAAATGAGGATTTCTTAATATGATTATTACCTTGTAAACTTTACCAAATGCACCATCTCCCAGTTCGCCTACCATTTCCCAAAACTCTTCCGGATTACAGTCCATCTTAATGTTATTATACAATTTTTTCTTCTTTGCATCGTTACCACCAAAGTGGAAAGCCTTCTTCAGATTTGATAAGAACGACATTTTGACAACTATGTATATCTCAATATACTTGCAATCAAACCAGACTACTATTGCAATTTGAACACACTGGAAATCTTTTAACAACACTCTTCACTGTACAAAACGTAACTATTAACAACTGTATTAAATTTATAGTAAAATATAACTTCAGCTAATGCTCAAAAGAGCTCAGTAACCATTTTTCAGCACTGCGATATGTGGTACGTTTAAAAACAATGTCGCTTTATATAGTCCGCATTATTTTTAATATCTACTATATTGAGATAAGTTCTTGAAACACAGGTATATCTTTTTTTAGATCCCTGCTGGATACCAGGGGACCGTGTCGCACCACTCCCGCATTTTTGTAAACTCCAAGTCGCGCTTCTTAATTGACTATCGCTACGTTCAAATTACTGTGTACACAGGTAAGAAGAGTGCGACCCATTGCTGACAATCTCCAACAATCAAATACACAGAGAATATTGAATCGAAATTCTGGAACAAAAAAATTTAATTCATTAATCATACTTTCACTTGCAAATTTTATCGATTCATCTTGCTAACAGTTTGATGTTCGATTCGCTATCAGAGTGAAGGAGGGAATATTCTCTTTTCAGTTCTTTGGTAACGCACACAATAATAATATACTTGTTTCTAATGTATTTCAACAGTAGTAGTGAATAATGCAGAAATTTCATTACAGAGAAAACTAGGGCAGAGTCAGTAGAACATTCCATTAGACAAGATCTCCATCTTTACGTTGATTTGAAATCAGAAATTAAGTACCGCGCGTGCATATAAAATCCTGCTAAATGCGTATGTTCGCTACGAGCTCCTTAAAAGGAATTTAACGGAGAAATGTATTACGTGTACGTACAAATAAATTACGAGGACGAGATAAGAGATGTTAGAGAAACTCATATACAGATATCATATGATAAGCTTAAAAAAGAAAACTTGCTATCTGCACTCAGTGGGCATTATCAATGGCAGAAGAACGCGCAATTAAAACGCTCTTCTAATAACTAACAATATAACGCGTTAATTAAAGTTGTCAATCCGCTCTCTGGTTCCCTTTAATTTCCCGGCGGAAGACATTTTTAAAAGGACGGGTTTTCCGAATGCAAAAGCAGGACGCCAACACACTTTACGCTCGTACGATCCGGCGTTTCCTTTCAAGGGAGGAAAGAAGAAGAAGAAGCAGCCAGTGGAAGGAGCGCGTCGATTGCAAAGCGATGTCCTACTCGCGGAAGCGTCTCGTGTGGGCAGCGAGGCTTGCAAAACGTCCGGTGGGCTCGCAGAGAGTCGGAAAATTCGATTAGGCGTTAATCGGAATTACCGTTGCGATCGCAATGCACCCGCGCGACTGCGAAACGCGTCTCGCTTCGCGGATAACCCTTTTTTAGCATCGCGAAACGACCTGTCCTTCTCTTCCTCAGCCTCATCCTCATCCTCGTCGTCTTCTAATCGATAGCTGCACGTACATCCCACGGCGAAGCGATTTATCGCGGAAGCGTAACGGACG